AATGGGGGGGGGCGGGGGAGGGGGGGGGGGAAAGGAAGGTAAATGCCTGTGAGTTAATGATTTGTCCTTTTCATATGGGTTCATTTTTTTTAAATTGTATCCTTTGGTATATATGGTTGTGACTATTTTCTTCCACTATTTGATCTGAGGAAGTGGGTCTGGCCCACGAACGCTCATCATCTAATAAACCATCTTGTTAGTCTTTAAAGTGCTACATAGTCCTGTATTTTGTTTCTGAAATGGGAGACTGCAGAGTTGCTGCAGCATTTGCTTTTCCTGTTATCTGAGTGGTGAATGAGGGATATGGGTAAAATAATGAAAGAGAGTATATTTCTGGAAGGGTGTGAAATGGAAAGAAGCTGGAATTTGGCCTGTGTGTGTCAGTTCTGTTTCATGGAGATAATTGGTAAATCTTTTTGTTGCTGACTACCAGCTCTTCCTAGAAACTACATGCTTTCCCTCTTAGCCTGGTGTTTTAAGAGAAGCTGGCCCTTCTCCTATCTTGAGGATCCTGAGTCAAGATTTTGGCTTCTGTCCATCCCTCCCAGGCTAGGAGAGTCTGTGTGCTTAGTAAAAGCAATGCATTCAACACTAGAGAGGGAAGTTCTCGTGTCAGTCTGCAGGGGCCCTTCTAGGCTAATGCTGGACTCCATTTCCTGGTGTTTTATGGAATGAAATGTTCTGAGAGCAAAGCATTAAGTGAAGGGTGGAGTGGTGGGTCCATCAGAAGACTGTAATCTACAGAATACAGAGGTGACAGAGCCATTTACTCTATGTGGGTTTGGGAGTTACTGGCTTGGCTCCAAAGGAAGCTGTCTCTAGTCACCCTGGAGGAACAGCTATCCTGACATGGAGCCCTTTATGGTGAGGGGGATAGCTTACAGATGTGGGAGGAAGGGTGCGTTTACTTTCCAACAACAGAATGGAGTTAACAAAGCTTCTATTGAGTACGAGGCAGCATCTGAGTCTTACGACTAGCCGTGGATGGAGAGGCTCAATGAAGAACCTTGTTCTCTCAGTTGTGAATGTTTCAATCCCTGTTGATTTCACCTAGCAATGAGTATGTTGTAGGATGCTGACTTCTGCTAAAATCCTGTTACAACTAAACCCAGGTGACGTTTCTCTTTCACCAGGGTTTGAGACGGAGTGGAAAGAAGAGACATGATGAAGGACCAAGGTGGGGAAGACAAAGCTGCCCTGCTGCCTGCTGGTCTTCCCAAAATGAACAGCAATCTGGTGCTAGACGAAGGCGACTTAGCTGAGGCTGCAGCACCCCCTGAAGCTGGGGAACCCCCAAGCCAGTCCAGGACTTGCAGCTCTGAGCCATCTGCTGATGGCAATGCTGAGAGCCTGACTAGTGAGGTGCAGGATAAAGATGAGGGTATGTTTCAGCGTTGAGCTTGAAGGGCCATGCCTGCAGAGAGGCTGTGGCTTTCTCTCTAGGGTGGCTGTTGTAACTAATTTCCATTCGCTCAAGTGTGGGAGGCCTGTGGCTTTAGGAGCAGATTGCTGGGTTTTAGGTGCATGCAAGGCCTTGTGTGCACCGTCTCGGAGTAATACCCATGTGTACGGGATGGCGGGTACAAAGATGTGAACATGCCCCCACCACTGTTTCTCAGTTGGTTGTATTGAATGACTTACTGTTCACCCTAGGGATGTAAGAGAGTAGTCGAATACTTGACTACTTGATAAGCCCAGGCTTTCTCGACTGTTCTACTTGCATTCTCCCCATGCCCAAAGACCAGGGACAAGCCAGCTGCTCTGGGGGTGGCTCAATCACAGCTCCATTCTCTGCCTGTCCCACACGCTGGGCTGTTCCGGGAGCCTCGCTCACGCACAGCAGGTGGGGAAGCGGCCAGTGCTGCCCGGCACTGGACCAGGAGCCAAGGACCGAAGCCCAGGCAGGCAGAGTGCAGTGGCCAGGCAAGCTTGGCACTCCCAGGCTGGCCTCAGGGAGATGCAGGCTCGCTGCATTGGCTGGGCTGGCAGCGCTCCGTGGGTGGGTTTCCTGAAGTGAGCCAGGCCGATGCAGTCAGCGGCGCTGTGCAGAGCCCTGAACTGGTGGCACTTGGGGTTCTGTGTGGGCTGCGTAGGTGGGGGGCAGGGCCTCTGGCCGGGCTGGGCACTCTGGGAGCCCGGTTGTGCCCCATGGGCACTTGGGAGGAGGCTCTGGCAGCCGAGTCACTGCTCAACTGGAGTGAGCCCGGGCTGAGCGCTGCGTGCCAGCAGCAAGAGCTCGTGAGTCACTGGGGCTTTGTCCTGGGCGGGCGCTGTGTGGCTTGGCCCGGGCGCGCCACAACCGGAAGAGGCAGAACAGGGCGAGCGGCTAAGGGCCCAGCAGGGCTCATACGGCCCGGCCTCCACTGTCGGCCAGTCCTGGCCCTGCAATTCCTGGCTGGGCTCTGCTCATCTCCTGGCCTGCCCGTGTGGTGCCTGCGTGTGGCTACATGGCGTGTTGGGCAGCCAATGCACAGCCCCCGCCAGGGCAGAGCCCTTGCCCCAAAGTGGCTTCGGCTTTGCTCTGCGGGGCTGGAGGCGCAAATAGGCAGGTCAAGCGCCCCGATGGCAGCAAAACACACTGGGCAAGCCCGGCAGGAGGCAGCCCGCGGGCGAGTTTCGTTTGGGATGTGGCTTCCCAGCCCCTCTCATGTCACCACTTCCCCTCCTGCCTTCCTGTCCGGTCTCTGGCAGCTTGGGGGAACCTCGGCAAGCGCCTGCCCTCCGTGCACATCCCAGAGCCGGGAGAGGAAGCCGAAGGGCCTGGCAATCCCGAGCGGGCTGGCCGGGCTCTAAGAAGGCAGCACTAGGTTCTCCTGTCCCCACTTCCCCTCCTGCCTTCCTGTCCGGTCTCTGGCAGCTTGGGGGAACCTCGGCAAGCGCCTGCCCTCCGTGCACATCCCAGAGCCGGGAGAGGAAGCCGAAGGGCCTGGCAATCCCGAGCGGGCTGGCCGGGCTCTAAGAAGGCAGCACTAGGTTGGCAGAGGGGCGCTTGACCTGCCTATTTGCGTCTCCAGCCCCACAGAGCAAAGCCGAAGCCACTTTGGGGCAAGGGCTCTGCCCTGGGGGGGGCTGCTAAACCTGGCAGGGGCCGGGACTGAGCCAGCTCGGCTCGGGACCAGTTCATGCCCAGTCCAGGAGCTACTCCCGCGGCTCTGCAGTTTAAACGTAGTAAGAGCCGGGCTGCCTGTATGCCTGGCTCTTACTACAGTTAATCTGCAGAGCTACAGTGTGGGCCAGCTCCCAGAGGCTCCAATCCTATTGGCCGATTAGCTGATTACTCGTTTCTTAACATCCCTACTTCACCCAGAGGATGTAGTGAAGACTGGGACTGTAACAGGGTTCAGAAAAGAACTAGCTACATTCCTGGAGGACAGGTCCATCGATACTTATTAGCCAGGATGGGCAGGGATGGTGTCCCTTAGCTCTGTTTGTCAGAGGCTGGGAAGGGGCGACAGGGGAGGGATCACTGGATGATTCCCTGTTCTGTTCACTCCCTCTGGGGCACCTGGCACGGGCCACTCTCGGCAGACAGGACCCTGGGCTAGATGGACCTTTGGTCTGTTCCAGTCCAGTCGTTCTGACGTTCTAATGGATATTAGCAGGGCTCGCCAAGCGGCGGTGAGCCCCACTCGCCAGCCACGTGGTTCGGCATGCTGCGCATGGGCTGACTGTGCTGCGCGGCTGTGCCGGCTTGTAATCTACTTGCCACGGGCGAGTAGATTACAGTAATTGTCGAGCCCTGGATATTGGGCTGTTACTATGAAAGAAAATGAATATGGAGCCTGCTCCCAATAAATGGAGTGGGAGTGGGATGTTGGAAGCCTGCTCCTAACACGGTAGGGGAACGCTGCCAGAAGTGCTGCTTCGTAGTCAGGGCAGCTAGCTAGAGCTGCAGTCCCCCAGGACGTAGCCCTAGTAGGAACCCTTTCCGCTGCTGTCTGGTTATTATACAGGGTTACAGCAGAGAGCAGCTGGCAGGATAGAAATCGTGAGAGAAAGTGCCATGTGTTTATCTTCTCCTCTCCTGCCTCCCCCAGTTGGTCTTGTGGCAGAAGAGACAAAAGCCAGAGCTGAGCCGGCAGCTGGAGGACATCCTGAACACGTACTGTGTGGATGCCAGCCAGGACGGTCCAGGAGATGACGGTGGACAGAGTGAGCCTGCAGAGCCAGACGAAGCAGACAAGTGCCGGAGCGAATCCCCCAGGAATGGCGGGCAGGAACCAGGCTGCCCCGAGATGAACGGAGAGAAGGAGGGCTCCAAGGGTCCGGAAGAGTTCCGAGTCAATGACGAGTGTGGGGAGCGTGATCAGAAACGGGCCCAGGAGACGGTCCAGGAGATGACGGTGGACAGAGTGAGCCTGCAGAGCCAGACGAAGCAGACAAGTGCCGGAGCGAATCCCCCAGGAATGGCGGGCAGGAACCAGGCTGCCCCGAGATGAACGGAGAGAAGGAGGGCTCCAAGGGTCCGGAAGAGTTCCGAGTCAATGACGAGTGTGGGGAGCGTGATCAGAAACGGGCCCAGGAGAAGAAAAAAGCCAAGGGTCTCGGTAGGGGTTCTCAGCCTTCGGCTGCAGCTAGTCTGGAGTGGGGAACTCCCCCCTTCCCCCCCCGGCCTTCCACTTTCATAGTGATTTATTTACCGTCTGCTAAAGCCAGTGTAATATGCATTGTAGCCATGCAGTGGATGGCAGTGTTCAAAAATGATATGGCTCTGTGCGCCATGGGGATGGGAAGAAATGTGCCCTGGGCTGCTTAGGCACATGCCAACCCTGAGCACTGACAGAGCCTCTGAATTGCAGGTGCAGTCTTGAGCAAGCCATGTTAGGGATATTAAAGGGGTAACCGGTAACCGAGTAAGCATTGCTTTACCAGCAGGCCTACTGGGGTAACTGGTTAACCAGCGGCCAGCCAGAGCAGCCTGTGCCATGGGCCCTACGGGCGGGGGGCTAGTCCAGTTGGGCCCACTGCGCCACGGGTGAGGGGTGCTCTAGCTTGTCCAGGCCAGAGCAGCCCTGCCCGCGGTACGGTGCAGTGGGCCCTGCAGGCAGGGGCTGCTCTGACCCAGCCAGGCCCACCATGCCATGGGCAGGGGGTGTTCCAGCCGGGCCAGAGTAGCTCCCCTGCCCACAGTACGGTGGGCCTGGCACAGCGCACGTAGCCCTGCACCACACTGGGAGGTGGGGTTGTCTGCTCCAGCCCGGTTAAACACCGGGCATGTTCAGCTTGGTGCTTCAGGCCAGACTGTGTGCACAGCTTCTGAGAACTGTCTTCCCCCACCCACACTTGATGAAAGAAAAGGATGCGGGTTAGATCCTCTAGAGACCATCAGTTATTCTTGCATTTGAGAGAGAAAGTAAATTGCCCTCTTGGATCTGTACAAGTTGGCAGCAGAGAATTTCCAACTGGGAAAGCTGGAACGCGAGTGCGCGGTCGCCTGTTTAATTTGCATCTACGTTTGTTGTGATGGCATTTACGAATCAGGCGTGGAATTGCACACACTGTGCACTAAACGTCTTTGCTCCACTGCATTTACCAGGGTTGGGGTGGTTTAGCTGTTGAATGGGGCCGGTGAGTCCAAGTCTCCCAGCTTCTGTTCCCTGCTGAGCCACATGCTGTTTGTGCTGCCTATGGCCAAGTTGCTTCTCCAGCTGTCTGTCTTAGGCATTTGACTTCCCCCTTGCCATAATATCTTAGGGTATGTCTAGACTACATGGCTCCGTCGACGGAGCCATGTAGATTTGTTTATTGGGCAAAGGGAAATGAAGCGGCGATTTAAATAATCGTCGCTTCATTTAAATTTAAATGCTGCCACGCTGAGCCGACAAACAGCTGATTAGCTGTTTGTCGGCTCAGCGCACTAGTCTGGACGCTCCGCGGTTGACATCAAAGCCCTTTGTCGACCACCCCAGTAAACCTCATCCCACGAGGAATAATGGGGTGGTCGACAAAGGGCTTTGATGTCGACCGCGGAGCGTCCAGACTAGCGCACTGAGCCGACAAACAGCTGATCAGCCCTTTGTCGGCAGCCCTGTTATTCCTCGTGGGATGAGGTTTACCGGGGCTGCCGACAAAGGGCTTTGATGTCGGCAGGTCGGCTCAGCGCGGCAGCCATTTAAATTTAAATGAAGCGTTGATTATTTAAATCACCGCTTCATTTCCCTTTGCCTACAACCCTAATCTACATGGCTCCGTCGATGGAGCCATGTAGTCTAGACACAGCCCTAGTGTCTCACTGATTTAATGTACATATTCTCATGGGGCCATGTGTGTGGTAGGGATGTTAACTGGCACTCTGGGAGCAGCCCCCCGCCCATGGCCCGCAGAGGGCTACTCCAGCACCGCCTGGCCCCCGTGCAAGGCTGTGAGTTGTTAGCTGTGCTAGCAGTCCTGCATGGCGCTGGACGCAGCTAGTACTTAACATTTAACCAATTAACTAATTAAATGGGATTTTACATCCCGGGTATGTGGTGCAGAGACCTGTAGCCTGACTTGAACCAGACGGGATTTAGCTACATGAGTCAGGCAGGAACACAGCTTGGGATTGGGTCAATGTTCCTCCTGCCCAGGGGTGAGCATGCTGGTACCTGTGTGTCCCGCTTGTACTGAGCGGTGCCAGTTTGCTGCAGTGTGTACTGCAGAATGGCTGTCTGAGGAGTCACAGTACCGTCCTTCTCTGTAGCACACACCCAACCTTTGAGGACCTGGGCCTAAGTGACTTCCCCAAGGTCTCACAAGAAGTCAGTGGCAGAGCAGAGAACTGAACCCATCCTCTGAAGGGAACAACCTTCAGTTACCCTGGTGGCTCACATTCACACTGAGAATCTGGGACGTGCATCAGGGTTTCTAGCTGTGGTTTTGTGTGTCGTTTGGAGCAGGTTTCCAGCTGGGTGCTTCCCCTTTGCCTTATGACCTAGAGCAGTGATTCCCAACCGTTTTTCCATGGAGGAACTCCTAAAATAACTTCATAGCCCAAAGAACCCCTACCTATGAAAATGTTTGCAGGCCAGAAAAAGTTGACAGCGGGGAGCGCAATTCAATTACTGCAAAATTATTTGCAGGACAATTTATTTGTAAAGAGCTGTTTTTTGTGTGTGTGTGTGTGTGTGTGTGTGTGTGTGTGTGTGTGTGTGTGTGTGTGTGTGTGCGCACACACACACACGTCAGCTTACATTGTAAGAAAAAAAAATTGGAATGGAACGGGGCAAGTCTCCAGTCCATGTTTTATTTATTCCACAATTTCTCGCAGAACCCCTGCGGAACCCCAGGGCCCGTGGAACCCTGATGGGGAAACACTGACCTAGAGCCCCGTGTGAAAGTGGTGTTTCTGCTTTGTGTCTTGCGTTCCAGGCAAGGAGATCACGTTGCTGATGCAGACGCTCAACACGCTGAGCACCCCGGAGGAGAAGCTGGCGGCCCTTTGCAAGAAATACGCTGAGCTGGTCAGTCCCTGTCAACTACACTCGAGGCTCCAGGGCGGGAGACTAATGTCTCTTGCTGCCAAGAGGTCAAGATCGTTCGGCGATGCAGGAGCCCGAGATGCTCCTCAGCCTGTACATACGCTGCCATTATTTTCACATGAAACATGGCTTCCTGGGCTCTCTGGCTCAAAAATATGGCGAGGCCCCAGGAGGAGAGAGTTTGTTACTGACCAGGCCCACACGTGCACGAGGGAGAATAAACCAAGCCAGAGTAGGGCCCAAGAGCTCCAGTGTAACACACTCAGCGGTGGTGAGCGCCTAAGATGGGACATGCCCAGTATTCAGAGTCACCTCTGTGGTATAGGGATGTAAAATCCCGTTTAACTAGTTAACTGCTTAAACATTATGTTTAATTGGTTAACTACTTAAATGAGGGTGGGTGGGGTGTGTATGTGACCTCAGTGCTCTATGAGCAGCTCCCAGCGAACCCAGCTTGGGCTTGCTGAGGATGAGGGTAGCCAAGGGGAGAGTAACTGTTCAGAATCATGAGACTGTCTAGTGGCTGGAGTTTGGGCTAAGAGCTTCTGAGTTTTACTTTAATCTCTGACACTGATTCACTTTATGGCCTCAGGCATGACCCTTTCCCTCGCTGCATTTCAACTTCCTTAACTCTAGAACTGGAAAGATTACCAAGGGCTGGGGTGCATTCTCTGTCACTGACAATTTTTAAATCAAGATTGGATGTTCTTCTAAAAGATCTTCTCTACAATTTATTTTGGGACGTTCTTTGGTGGTCAGACTTGATTGCAATGGTTGCTTCTGACCTTGGAATCTATCAGTCTAGACTAGAGGGTAAGGAGACTGGCTCATCTCTCAAGGAGTTTGTGAGGTTCGATTAATCGTTAGCCTGTTTACAGTACATTCCACACAAGAACCCTCATAATCCCTTTACAAGGCAGGTAGTCTTGTCACCGTTTTAGGGTTGGGTAAAGTGAGGCTCAAAGAGGGAACATCCTAGCATCACTGACAGAACCATGAATGTGATCCAGGAGTCCTGACTCACTTTCCCCTGCACTAACCACTGGACATCACTCCCTCGCCACAATTTAAGAGGTATTGTAATACCTGAAAGAAGCACATGGATTAACTCTACCGAGCCTGACTCGGAGCCATCCTCACAGCATTAGGTCCTATCGGAATCCCGAGGAACAAATGATGCCCAAAGGGGTTCCTCTATAGTGATACGTCCCGGGCTGGAGGCTGAGACCCATGCCATTGAGCTAACCCTGCGCCCCACACCTCACTCTCTGTGCTTGGCTTAGATACATTTCATGCGAGAGCCAGCTCCATAAAAGGTGCTGTGCTCAGCTAGAGCTGTATGAGCCATGGATTCCTCCAGCCCTGGTTGCTGCAGTGGTTATTCTTCTGGGGCTGGAACGTTCTCCAGCTGAGTCCAGAACTCTCTCCCTGGGGTGCAGCTGGAGTCAACCCCCTCGTTTGCTTTGCTGCATCTTTCCTTCTCCCTCCCTCTAGCTGGAAGAGCACAGGAACTCCCAGAAGCAGATGAAGACCCTTCAGAAGAAGCAGACGCAGCTGGTGCAGGAAAAGGACCATCTGAGGAGTGAACATAGCAAGGCCATCCTGGCCCGCAGCAAGCTGGAGAGTTTGTGCCGCGAGCTCCAAAGACACAACCGCACCCTCAAGGCAAGATCCTTCTTGCTCCCTATCCCACAGGGGCCTTGAACCTGAGAGAGAGACACCGACGGAACAGGGCTGCTTTATCTCTTCCCTGGAGCAGCAGTGGCCAGTCTCTCAGGGCAGCTGTTCCCATTTACCGCAGGAAGGGCTGGGCTGTACCTGCCTGCCGTGCGCGTGCTAACCTTGTGGTGCTTCTTATCTTGCATAAACAATGCGGGCATGTCTGCACAGCAGTGTTGTGTCGAAATAACAGAGTGCGCGTCTGCACAGCAAGCCCGTTATTTCAAAATAATGGGCTTCTTACTCCGACTTCTGCGACCCTCACTTCTCGAGGAGTAAGGGATGTCGGAGGGAGAGTGCTCTTCCGTGGACGTCCTGCCAAAAGCCAAGTTAAGGTGCTTCAACTTCAGCTAGGCAGTGGACGTAGCTGAAGTTGCGTCGCTTGATTCGACTGTAGCCCGTAGTGTAGCCGTGCCCTGAGACCGGGGACATGGTGTGTCCGGTGAGACTGTCAGACGGTTGAGACCTGGGGCGGGCGAGAGTCACACTGGTGAAGGAGGGTGTGCAGTGGCAGAGCCCTGACACCCAGATTAGACTCTTTGGTAAGGTGGTGTGACGTAGCGGGGCATCTTGCCGGTCTCTAGGCTTGGGCTGTCCCCTACTGGCCCTGTCTGTGAGCACGGCCCAGTAGGGGGGCCAGACACTGCCCTGGCCGGTTCTGACTGGGGGAAGGGAAGGAGGTTGGAATAAGGAAAGTATGTGGGGGGAGGAAGAGTTAGTCTGGGGCTGGAAACATGATGGAGACAGCCTAGGGAGGGGGCTTGGAGACTAGGGCCTCAGGCACCCGCCTCAAGAGTTCTGGGGCATCCTAGCCCCCTCCTATTGCCACATCATGTCTATGCTGGGCTGTCTTCTGGAAACTCAGTAAATCCCTCTCTACTCTGCTGGCTGGCGGAGACTGTTCTGGCTGCTACAGGGGTGCAGGATCGGGGGAACCCCGACTGCGCCATCACAGGTGGGAAGCTGGGCGCCTGGCGTACCCGTCGCATTCCGAGTGTGCGTCACTGGGGTAGACAGCAGTATTTGACCTACAGCCTTACCGCCTGCAAGAGGCCTGTCCGGTCTGTCTGAGACCAGCCCACTGTCTGCCTAGCCCTGTGTTACATTTCACTGCATGGAGCTGCCCATCTCTTTCCTGTCACTGAACTTACCCGGTGCGGGACAGCTGGGACCAGCAGATTTGACCTGTCCATCTCGCCCGCCCTTTGTCGCAGATGGGGGGTTGGAGACGGAAAGGGCAACAGGGCAGGCGGGGGGGGTGAGTGTGGTGAGCAGGGCCACCCAAACTTTTTTCCTCTTTGGCCTACATAGTAACACGTGTGCCCTGGAGGGCGAGGTGATCTGGGTAAATTGCTCTGTCAGTCGACTGGTCCAGCTGTCCCCCGGGCATTGACCTGGGTCCCTTTGTACCTTTTCCCGAAGGAGGAAGGCGTCCAGCGTGCGCGAGAGGAGGAGGAGAAACGGAAGGAAGTGACATCCCATTTCCAGGTGACGCTGAACGACATCCAGCTGCAGATGGAGCAGCACAACGAGCGGAACGCCAAGCTGCGCCAAGAGAACATGGAGCTGGCGGAGAGGCTGAAAAAGCTCATTGAGCAGTACGAGCTGCGGGAAGAGGTGGGGCGCCAGTCGGACAAGGAACCCTGGGTCCCAGGAGGGGTAGGGTGGGGGCCTTGCATAGCAGATGGAATCTCGGGCTGGCTGGGAGGGGGATGTCTCCCCTCCAAGGTGATGTGGATTTCTAGAGGCTGGGGTGATACTACGTTATCTTCTGATAGCACTTAACTTCAGTGCTGTTGGCTGCTCAGAGCTGTTCACCTCAGACCTGCATGATGCTTCTTATCACTGTTTTACAAATTGGGAAACTGAGGCGCAGAGCGGTGAAGGGACTTGCCCCAGGCAACGAGCCAGGGGCAGAGGCTTAGAACCAAGGCGCCTCATGCTCTAACTCCAGGCTGCTGCCTCCCCCGTCCAGTACTGTGAGCTGTTGGAACTGAGAACGTTGGCGTCCCTTCTTTGCTAGCCCAGATGCTGTGAACTAGATAGAACGCACAGGGCTGCTGGGTGGCATGTGGAAATGTCCGCCAGGGTCATAGGCCCTTCTGCTCCCACCAACATGCCATTTGGGCAGCAAAGCCGGCACGGTTTGTAGCAGCTAGGGATGTAAAAAGTCAGCTAAGAAGGTAACTGTAAAAGCTGCTGAAAATCATCGCGGTTACGTGGTTACACGCGCTGCCAGCTCTGCAGTATAAATAAGCTTTGCTGCCAAGCCTCTCTTGCTGGCCCTGCTCCTGGGAAGGCGGCTTCCCTGCTGCAGAAAAATTGCCTCCCCGGGAGCAAGGCCAGCAGCCCTTGCTGGCCCTGCTCCCAGGGAGCCAGCGTGTAACCATGAAGGGGTGGGACCGGGCCAGGCCTGCCACTGACAGGGGTTGCTCTGGTCTGCTGGAGCAGTCCCCGCCTGCTACCCAGGGAGATCAGGGAGCAGCTCCAGCCCCTACCCTTTTAGGGTGATGCTTGCTGGTTAGCCGGTTAACCTTCCCCATCCCTGCTAACAACCCCTGTATTCCCCTTGGCAGCATATCGATAAGGTGTTCAAACACAAGGACTTGCAGCAGCAGCTGGTAGATGCCAAGCTCCAGCAGGCCCAGGAGATGCTGACGGAGGCAGAGGAGAGACACCAGCGGGAGAAGGACTTTGTAAGTCTGCTGCTTTGGCAACTGTCTTAGCAAATCCTGTTGAGCCATTCGGCTCTCGCCTCCCCGCTAACACTTCTCTAAGAACAGCTGGCCTGTTGGAGGTAAGGAATTGCCCAGCCAGATCTGACTGTCCTGGTCCACTGTCCTCCATAGCGGCTTCCCCAGCAGTAGAAGCCCTGGTCTGTTGTTCAGTGCTGGCTGTGCTCCACGACAGGATCCCTTCCAAGCCGCTGCCTTGCAGGACTGTGGGATTCTCACCCAGCTGCCCCTTCTGGAGCTAGGATGGACTCGAGCTATTCCCAGTGCCCCGCCCTGGAGTCCAGGTCGCTAACTCCATTCCCCTCTCCCATGGTCTCTTGTAGCTGCTGAAAGAGGCCGTGGAGTCGCAGAGAATGTGTGAGCTGATGAAGCAGCAGGAGACCCATCTCAAACAGCAGGTGAGGTAGCACAGCTCAGGCTGTTGGGCTCTTATGACTATTTCCCTAGTAGGCAGCGGGATCTGCCCTAGTGGGTGGGCCCCTGCATTTCAACGCTGGGAAGGTCTGCATAAGACCAGGAGGTACAATGCAGGGTAGGACCTCCCTGCGCCCCTTTCCTTCTCTGCTTCCTTGGAGAAAGGAAGAGGCCCCGGTTTCCCAGCATCTTTCTCGGTGCTGGGGCAGGTTGTCCTTTGGCACGGGGCTGTGGGCCTGACCGGCAAGGCGCTGAAGTCTGTGGAAGTTGTGGGCACTCAGCACCTTGCAGGGGTGGGCCAAAGCAAGACAAGGGGATTGTCCCTTTCTTTCCAGTCCAGGACTCTGAGCACGGCAGGTTGGTGCTGTACACCATAGAGCCCAGGCCTCTACTGAACCTCCAGGGCTTAAATCCCAGGAGTCAGCTCGGTGCTGCTCGGAAATCCAGCCTCTTCCTTGCTGGACACTGACCTGGGGAAGGGAGGCTGGAACGAGATGCCTTCTAGGTGGTCCCATGGTACGTGGCGCTGAGCTGCGGTTCCCTCCCTCTCTAGCTTGCCCTCTACACGGAGAAGTTTGAGGAGTTTCAGAACACGCTTTCCAAGAGCAGCGAGGTGTTCACTACATTCAAACAGGAGATGGAGAAGGTACTGTGATTGTCACCCCTATTGGCCAAAGAGCTGGCATGGGCCTCTCTGATGTGTGAGATCCACTGTCCACCTCCATCCACACTGGGCTTCGAAGCCGGTGAAGCAGCAACTCCTTCATTATGGAGACGCCAGCTTTCACCAACGGCAGAAATCCTCCAGGAGTCACCTGCTCCTAGGAAGTAAACCAATCCCGTTCAGCAGTCGTTAACAAAAGGACCTGGAGCCTTCCCGTGGGACAGGGTGGGGCTGGATCTGGGATGGGGTGGGAGAGTTGGTCCAGGGTTAGCAGTGCTGCGAGGCAGCCTGCATCTGAGCCTTCCCAAACGTATGGGGAGTTTGGAGGTGGGTGTAGAAGTGGTTTAGCCCTATGGTTTGTTGTGTCCTGGTCCATGGACAGTGGATAGAGGAGGCTTGGAGTAGAGATGTTAAATTTAATTAACTGGCTAATTGAATTGTCAATACAATTTGCATCGACGATTCGATTAGTTGACATGGGCACATCCGCCTTTGAAGTATAGCAAAGTATAGGGCTGTTGCTACACTTCAAAGGCAAAAGTGCTGTGGGGAGCACGGGGCCAGCGGGGAACTCAAGCAGTCACCTGCTGACCCCGTGCTGTTGCAAAGCGGCAGTGGCACTTGGAGCCTGGGGTCAGCTGGGGACTCAGAATCCTCAGCTGACCCCGGGCTCCATGTGGTGGCCACTTTGAAATGCACACTTTTGAAATACTGCTTGGCACTGCCGCTTTGAAACGCCACATGCAGACTGGGGCCTGCTGGGAGTCCTGGCCCCGGGCTGCATGCGGCATTTCAAAGTGGCAGCGCCGCGTGGAGCCCGGGGTCTGTCCCTGGGCTCCATTCGGTGCTACCGTTTTGAAGCAACCCCTCCTGCCCCCCTTTCCTTGCTGCCGCTTTCCGACGGAGGCAGCAAGTGGGGAGAGCGACTAGTCGATTATTGTGTCAACTATGCCATAAGCATTTGCTTATGGAATAGACAACTAATCGTTCACATCCCTAGCTTGGAGCAGCCTGGTCAGTAGTCCCTCTGGGTGAACTCAGCCTTGCTCCACCTCACCCACTGAGGGGCTGCTGCAGTTCCCTGGGTTGGCTACATCTGACTCCCTGCTCTGGGGATGTTCATGCACCCCTGAAGGGACTGTAGAAACTGTCCAGTTGCACCGCTCTGCAGCTCTCTCTCTCTTTTCTGTTTTTTACTATTATTCTGTAGATGACAAAAAAGATCAAGAAGCTGGAGAAGGAGACCACCGTGTACCGGTCTCGCTGGGAGAGCAGCAACAAGGCTCTGTTGGAGATGGCTGAGGAGGTAAGCCCCCCGTCTTGGTTGTGGTAAGCCCCACGCCACAGCACCAAGCCAGGCATCTGGCTCAGCTCTGCATTTTGTTGTGTGTCCTGAGGCTGTTAAACAGCCAATGGCTAATGCATCAGAGAGCAGGCAACTGGGAGTAAGGGCGAGGAATTTGGTTCCTGGCTCTGTCATTGTGTGATCTTGGGCAAGTCCCGTCTCTACAG